TCTGAGACTTAGCTAGTATATAGTTATCTATCATCGAATATCTGCTGTAAAATTATCCGGATGTTCAGGATACATTTCTTGTATTTCAACTATTTTTTAATCCATAATAGTTAATATGTATTAAATACCGGCTTTAAATATCATCTGATGTTATAATGTCTAGCTCCGTGGGCGCGCCCTGCCCGGTATGTCCACCTTCGTCGTCCTGTTATTTACCAGTGCTACTTTCATTCTCACTTTTGCATTGTTACTCCGTTTCAATCCTTTATTTTTTTAGCCTATTTTGCCAAGCAAATATGATAGCCTTATTCCACATATTCCTAGCATTAATAAAGAATGTGCGCACACCTGGCCAGCTCTTAAGAGCTGGGATTTGGGGTATTTTTCTCGGCATATCTCCGAACCGCTACGTTTTCGACTTATTGAAAAATCTTTCCCCCACATACAATGGGAGAACGCTTGTAATTATGTATATGCTACAATTGACGAATTTACTGCGTGGCTAAATGGTGGGATGATCCATTCTCCCTTCGAAAAGTATTCTCCAGATTTGTGGACAGCATATGCTGATTATACCTATATTGATAGGCATGAAGGCTTGCGAGTATTGAAGTCCGATTTCGATTGGTCTACCTGTCTCCCTGACTTAAATCCATTTGATGGGACGACGTTTTGGCTGGCCTCAAGTGGAGCATATACCCCATGCCATTATGATACCTATGGTATCAATTTGGTTGCGCAGATCTTTGGTCGAAAGCGTTGGGTATTATTTTCCCCAAATGATTCCGTCTATTTGTATCCAACTCGTATTCCCTTGGAAGAATCTACGGTGTATAGTCAAATCAACATGCTTTCTCCTGATTTTAAATTACACTCATTATTCCATAATGCTACCCCTCTTGAAACAATTTTAGAGCCTGGAGATTGCCTCTTAATACCGAGACACTGGTGGCATTTTGTGCAATCTTATGGCGACGAACCAACATGCTCGATAAATCTCTGGCTGGACCAGCCGATCTATGATCAAGAAGAACGACTAGGGGAAGCGCTTACACAGATCTTGGCCTATTCACTTAGCCGAAGCATGTTAGATTTCGATTTTGATCCACTAGAACATTTAAATGAGAAGGAACAAGATAACTTTCTTTCAGATGACTGTTTTCCTACTCTCTTGAACAGTACTGGTCAAATTATTCGATCTATTCATATGAAAAAAACATCAGAGAGTGAGTCAGGCAGTGCTAAAGAATATCGACTTAGTGGTTGGCAATCTGTCGGAAAAAGGGCTATTTGTGATGTGTTTCCTTCGCATGGTGTGTCAAACACGGCACTTAGCGAAACACCCTTGACTGTGAAATTACTTCGCGCATTCACACATCCTGATGTAATTTATGCTGTCAGAAAACATATTTTAGGGTAATATTACTTGCATTTGTATAAATAAACGCTTGAATCATCTTGTGATTATCTTTTTATTGCGAAAGAGATTAAGCTGACGGTGCTTCAGAGCTAATATTGTGTCATGTCCTTTGATGTAATTTTACATAAGTCTATCGACTCTTTTCAGATATTTCTCCTAGTTAACGTTTGATAGTCTAATAAAGGTCTAAACGAATGCATTTTAACTGTTGCTAATTTTTTTCATATATTTATTAAGCCCTAGCCTCTTCATATGTTGTTGCTCTAGCTTCGGTCTATATCTTCA